TTGTGAGGCCAAGCGGCGTGTGGGCTTCTGACAGTGGGAAGTGCTGCTTGTGGCTCAGAGGTGTGGCTTCCTTGCCAGGCTTCCAGACTCATCCCGGCTCAGTGAGTCAATTGCTTTAAACACATTTCCTGATTTAGTACTGGGTCGAACTGCATCTGGCACTGCTGTAGCTGTACTTACCTATAAAAATAGAAGGGCATAATTTGCTAGAAATCTTGTATGTGGGAGTGAAGAGAGCAAAACGTCCTTGGAATTGAAAGAATTTTGTGAGAAGTCAGTTCTTTTTGGAAGTCTAGAAATTGGTTGTGACAAATAGTGGGGATGATGCAACGTGTTCCCCATTTCATGGCCTTTTTATGTCCAGGAGTATGGGATCTTCAGTGTGGCGTTTCTGAGGCTTTCTCTGTCCCCTTTCACTTCTGCATTCATGTGATGTTTTGAAACTGAAGGAGTGTTCAGAGACTCTTAACAGGGAAAGGCAGGTGCTGCCTGCTTGCTCGGAGCATTTTAAAATCTCGGGAGAAATGGCTCACAGATAGAGCTAATTGTATTATGGTGTGGTGGGTTGACCCTGGCCGGACACCAGGTGCCCACCAAAGCAGCTCGATGGTTCCCCGCCTCAGCTGGACAGGGCAGAAAAAATATAATGAAAGGCTTGTGGGTTGAGGTAAGGACAGGGAGAGATCACTCACCAATTACCGTCACGGGCAAAACAGACTCGACTTGGGGCAAATTAACTTAATTTATTACCAATGCAATTGGAATATGGTAATGAGAAATAAAGCCAAATCTTAAAACCCCTTCCCCCCACCCCTCCCTTCTTTCTGGGCACAACTTCACTCCTGAATTCTCTCCCCACTCCCCGCCAGTGGTGCAGGGGGATGGGGAATGGGGGTTGGGGTCAGTTCGTCACACCTTGTCTCTGCCGCTCCTTCCTCCTCACGCTCTTCCCCTGCTCCAGCGTGGGGTCCCTCCCACGGGAGACAGTTCTCCATGAACTTATCCAACGTGGGTCCTTCCCACGGGCTGCAGTTCTTCACGAACTGCTCTGGTGTGGGTCCCTTCCACGGGCCGCAGTCCTTCAGGCACAGACTGCTCCAGCGCGGGCTTCCCACGGGGTCACAGCCTCCTTTGGGCATCCCCCTGCTCCGGCGTGGGCTGCGGGTGGAGATCTGTTCCCCTGTGGACCTCCTTGGACTGCAGGGGGACAGCCTGCCTCACCAGGGTCTTCCGAAAGGGCTGCAGGGGAGTCTCTGCTCCGGCGCCTGGAGCATCTCCTCCCCCTCCTTCTGCACTGACCTGGGGGTCTGCAGGGCTGGTGCTCTCGCATGTTCTCGCTCCCCTCTCTGGCTGCCATTTCTGTGCCCCAGCGGTATTTTTCCCCCTTCTGAAATACATTATCACAAAGGCGTTGCCACCATCGCTGATGTGCTCGGCCTTGGCCGGTGGCGGGTCTGCCTTGGAGGCAGCTGGCATGGGCTCTGTTGGACACAGAGGAAGCTTCCAGCAGTTTCTCACAGAAGCCAGCCCTGTAACCTCCCCCCAGCTACCAAAACCTTGCCATGGAAACCCAATACATACGGAATGTAGGTGAAAATAAAATGTCATACTTGATCAAGACATCTATTATTGTGTGTATTGTTGGCCACCAGACAGAACTCTCGAAGTTACTTTTTTCACCAAATGCTCAAGGAGTTAAGGAAATAGGCCTGGAACAAGAAGGCTTTCTAAATCTGTCACATGTAACAGATTGACATAATTGGAAAAAAAAAATCATTATTTATCTGTCTTGGTTTTTTAAGATGCCTTCAGCTCAGTGTTGGGAATCGTAATGTAGGGTAGCAGGAATAAGACGCTGCTGTGATCAGGGTTTAGGGAGGAAGTGGGATTACTTAGTAAGGTAACCATTTAAAGGGTTAGTTAACTGATGGTGCTAAGGCATAAGTAAATGAGCATGGGGTTTTTTGGTTAAGTAATAGGAGAGCTTCTGAACTAATAAGGTAGTTGAAATAATGTTTGCAGCAACATTTACAACTAGACTTCCCAAGAGCAAACATGTCCTATGAGGGTTTTGACTTAGAGAAGCCATACCAGATTGTTGAGTCCTTGAACTTTCATTTGTATCAAGGAGTGCATGCAGTTAACTGGCTTCACATACAGTGAACTGCATAAATGAATGGAATTCTGATAATCTATTGCCAAAATTGCAGATAGTTCCGTAGCACGCGACAACTAGCAGCCTGCATTTATCCGAATTACTTTTCCTTTTGGATGCCTGCCTGACTTTCGTGTGAGACCACTTCCTGCTGTCCTAGGATGGCTGTGCTGAATTTGAGAAGTAGTGATCAGAAAGGTAGTGGAGGCAAATATGGAATGGCGTATTTGGAACAGATGATAAGACCAAATCATTATGTATTCTGTTGTTAAAAGCTTTTGCCAGCTTACGGGAAGAACCCCCCTGTTTCTGGGAAGGGGGTAGCAGGGATTAAGTGATACCTAACAATTTTCCAGTATGTTGTGCGTTCTTTTGCTTCCTTGACCATGGAAGATGGGTGTTCAGCAGATCTGCAATGACTTGGTTTGCTATCAGGCAACAAGCTCAGGATCTGGGGTGGATACGGTGTGAATTCCTACCCAGAGTTTTCTCAAAATGAACTGTTTTATTTAGGGAGTTCTTTTACCACGCTTTCCTTGTGCCTTGTTCTTGAACTCTCATGCCTTCCGTTGGCTTACCCTTTTTGCTAAAATCCAAACAGTTTCTTGGTTTAGTTATTTCATAATCTTTTTCCAGTTACTGCTTCTTATACTTCTATACCATTTTCTTTTCCTGAACAAAGATTTTCTGGTGAAGTTGTAAGAGGGTGCTGCTCTTCGTGATCTGAATCCTCCTGGTAAGTGCTTCCTCTGTCTGGATAGAGCTTTTGTCGTCATGCTCAGGGAGCTCCACGCACCCAGTAGTAGTCTCTATAATGAGCTTGTAGATCTTGCCTTGGGCAACTGTGCCAGACCAGTTACAGCAGTTAAGTTTTTTCAGTCTTCATCATTGTATGAAAAATGACAGTATTACAAAAGAGAAGCTGGTGTACGTTAGGTTGTGAAACATGGTGAAAGGAGGACTTAAGTTTTAGGAATTGGGGATTTTGTGTAAGCAGTGGGGGCAGGGGGAGGAATCTCTTTACTTTCCTTTCTTACTTATGATAAATGAATTACCTGAGCTTTGGAGTGGTGGTAAGTCTGTGGAAACCTTTGGTTTCCTTTTCATGGAAGTCTTAGGAGTTAGGATGGCTAGTTAGGATGGAGTGACAGCAAAATCTTGCGAGTGACTTAGGAAGTGCTGTGCTTGTGTTTTAGCATGTGCTGGTTTTCCTTTGCCTCCACTGACACACGTGGAAAGATAACAATACCAGTCTCTCTTGCTCTTCAGTTGTTGTGAATATTAACTTGCGTCAGCCCTGTCTGTGTAGCCATACACCAAAGCAATTGCCAGATGTTTTAAGTTGTATTTTTACCCCTTATGTTGGCATAGTGGCTATAAAGTAGATAAGTTCCTGAAGAGAAGAACTTGGGTCTCTTAAGCAGTCAGTTAAAAGATTTGGGGTTTTGTTTGCTAGGATTTTTTCACTTGCTTTTTCTTCAGAGTTGGTTTGAACCTGCCCTGGCAACAAATGCAGGTGGCTGGAGGGGTGGGAGGCTCCCTGAGCCACAAAAGCTTCTCACTCCCACTGGGAGGCAATTATTTTATTTAAGATTTGAATCTGGTATCCTTGCTTAGGGTGAAATGCAAATGACTGGGTGCATGTTAGAAGCGTCCTGTAACAGAATAGATGGGAGCCATATGTTTCCTCTTCCTCCTGCTGGCTCTTAGTTGCATTTAGTAGCTGACTGCATTAGTATTGTTCTGGTGTCTGTGTGAATGTACGTGGCCTGTTCAACTGTATCATCCCACGATCTCTGGTAGCCCAGCCAAGTGCTTCTTTATGAGGGTTAGAAAACAGGATTACTCTGGAGGCCTACGGGAGGGGGAGGATGCTGCTGCCCCTTTGTAGCAAGGGAGAGTCAGAGTAGGACCGGGACTGTGTAAATCTCTAACCAGCTGGACTTGTGGGATCTGTTCAATACCCAAAGATGCACCTGCAAAGATGTTGCTACCTGCCTGAAAGAATTTGGTGAACTCATTATTTATGTCCAGTTTCAGTATGTTTTCTTCTTCGTTGCTCTTGTTCAGGTCTAAACTGAGACTTAATAAACTGTTAGGCAGTATTGTCACATGCTTGTCAAATGACACGTTCTCAATCACCTGTCGTTATGTGTTTTGGAAAGAACAATTTTTGTTGTGTTCTTTGGTGTGCATTGTGTCTCTGCTAGAGCTATTGGCATTCGGGATTGTAGAAACGAGTGATGTTTGTTAATCTTCTGTTGATGGTGTGGTGGGGAAAATGAGATGCAGAGTTAAGTTTTTTAGAGTGCTTCTGCGTGACGGTGTAGCTACACTACATTGCTTCAATGATAAGCTACAACACTTGCATATGCAGGTTACATATTTAGTGAGCTGGGGAGAACCCTTATGCCCCACTTATAAAAATTTCTGTTTGGTCCTGTAGAGAGATGGTGAAATATTGGCAAAGTCTTTTATATAAAGAAATGAGAACTGGATCATACGTGTAATGAAAATTCTGCTGTCTGGGTTTCACATCTTTCCACTTTCTTTCATTGGAATTCAGAGCTCAGTTTTCCTTTTCCAACTGAAATCTTTTCTCAGCTCATACGTTAAAACATTCACAAGTATTGGCTCATTTGACACTTTTCTGCAAATATTTAATTTTACACATCATGTTTCTGACATGTGAGGGGTTAATGTACCATCCAGGCTCACTGCCATCATTTAAAATTTAAATGTCTACACTTTTTTCTAAGTCAGTCCCTGGTTTTCAAACAAAATTGTAGGTAAGAAAATGATTTATATGAAAGTTGTAAAAGTTGCCGTCCTTATTTCTTGCCAGACTGGTGGACTGAAAGGTCTGTATGCTGTGAAACCAGGGGAAAATGACATAGAAAGTTTGTGGAAAATGTGGTATTGTATCAGTCTTGAGCTAAAGCGTTCGTGTATTTCTGAGCAACTGTATTTTAAAAACTAAGTTCCTAAACAATACCAGATACTGGAAAAGCTACTTTATATTGGTAGCTAAGGTAATATTCTGAATCGGCTAGGCCTGCAGAAAGTACGCTTTCCTAAATAACAGCAGCTTGGTTTTGAGGAATTAATAGTAACTACTTAACAGATCATACTTGATTGGGAAAGACAGGGGTCTGAACAGGCTATACCTACCTTTTTATTACACTTGTGCATGTGTGGTGACATTATCTGTCTCATGAAGGTGGGTGTTAGAAAAAGAACATGGGTTTTTCTGTTAAATAAATAGTATCTTTAATTAACATGACAAGCATCAGGGCTGTTGAGAGTAAATAAGGCTTCTGTGTGGCTGGGCTGCTGTCCTCGATATGTAGCTGTCCAGATTCTGGGGAAGGAAATATTTTTAGTCTTGCCCGTGATCCAGTTTGCTGAGAGAGGAGAGCGAGTCTGAGGGTTCCCAGTTATCCAGCTGGCTTAACAGTAGGTTGAGCAGATGAGAAGGCAGGATAGTGGAGAATCATTTAATTGTTTAAACAACAAGTCAAAGCACCTGTTGCTTCTGCGTCCCAGTTATTGTTAAATACGCTTTTTCGACATGAAAATATGGGAGCGGGGAAAGTATTTGTTAATCCTGTGCTTATGCGTGACTTGTCTGCTCCTTTCTTTTTCCCATCGCTTTCCACAAGTTCTCTAAATATTTCCTCTCCCTTTCGCAGTGGTAGTCGCTCTTCCAAAACCTTCAAACCAAAGAAGAATATTCCGGAGGGGTCTCACCAGTATGAGCTGCTAAAACATGCCGAAGCCACGCTTGGAAGCGGTAATCTCCGGATGGCTGTTATGCTTCCAGAGGGTGAAGACTTAAATGAATGGGTTGCAGTTAACAGTAAGTTAGCTAACCTTTTTTTCATAAAGGGGGTGTTGAATGTGGGTTGACACTTGTGGGAGAAAAACTGTGTACTCCTTTCTAGTGGGGTAGGCTCTTCTTCCTGCCTGCACCGCTGCTGCGGTTGGGGAAGGTGAATGTTGTATCATTTAGAGCTGACAGATGCAGAGTGTCTCACCGAGACAAAAACTCCTTAATCTTGTGCCAAAAATATGTTCCTGTTAACAAAATAATTCTTATTCTTAGTGGTTAAAGTCTGAGCCCTTGATCACAAACGAGTGCTGAAGTAGAAATGTCACTGCTGTTTTTAGAAAGTAGCCTGTCAGTGCCATCTTAATATGTTTAATCTAGCGCTTTTTCAGCTAGGGTTGTTACCCAATGGTATAGTCAAGCCTCTACATACTAGGCATAAAACCTTAATTTAGCTAAGTGTGAGGGCTAAAGATGCTAAAGACTACAGTCACGTGTGTGGCCTGGCTTTCCTTTTGCCTTTAACAAACTCAGAGATCAATCTTTGCAATTTTGCTAAAGTTAGTTCCTCCCTTTTGTTTCAACCAAGTTGTGAGTCTTTGCTCTGGTAAGTCTCTGATGTCATTATTTTAACTTCCTCTAAAGCTGTTTGTCCTAACACTCTCCTTTCATGCTAGGTCAGGCTAAACAATGGTGCCCAAGTTAGTGTTTTCTGATTGCTTGACCATGTTTCCTCCTCCTTCCTCTCCCTGCTGTATGAATTTGCTGCCTGCCTTCTGCTTTTAAAGAATGGATTAACCCAAGTCTTACCATGCTCTGTAGCCCGTGCAGAGTTTCGGCTGCCACAAACTCTGTACCCTGTCTGGGTATTTTCTCATCTTTTGTGTCTTTGGCTTGGCATGCTTCTGTGATTGTATGGTATTGATTGTGCATTGTAGTATAAATTATACTCAAGATAAATGTCTTCTAATTGTTCATGTGGTTCTGTCTATTTCTTCTTGCTCTTTGACTTGTTTGGGAAGTGAAACTGTCATATTGGCTTCAACCTTCCGGTTCCTAATTAGCCACACAGCGCTCTGGTATATGACTTGCCACTGCTCCCAGGGAATGTTGAAATTGCTGACACCATTCTTTATAATAGTTTATTCACACTGTATTGCAAAGCTGTCTAGAAAAAAAGCCCACCCATTTTTATGAGTAAGCATTACTAAAGATGCTTCAGATACTGTTGGCATCCTTCCCTTTTGGTGGTTCCTGCACTCCATGTTTCTCCTTTCCTGTGTGGCAGCAGTGTTTTTCCCTTCCCAAATGATTTAACTGCTAAATTAGCTGGGTGGCAAAAGGCAGTGAAGCACTGGACAAAAAAATGGGAGCTGCCTTTTGGTAACAGCTGCATTCTGTAATGAAATGGTCCTCTTTCATGCCTCCTGCAGCATAGTGGGTTTTAAATGTTTAATTTTTTGTCTAGAAGTGATTAACTGATTACATGGTCCTTTCATTTACAGCATCCCTCTACCACACCTAGTACCAGTTAATGGTAGCTGGGAGCGCCTTCTGTTGATTGAGAGATCTAACAAGGAAATAAAATGTGTGACAATGTCATTGGCTTTGCCCTTCACCATAGTGAGAGTGCAGGAACAAATGTGCTCTGCTCTTCTACTTCTTGCTCAACTCTTAGCCTTACTGATGTCTTATGTTAATGAGTTGATATACATGTAGATTTTTCAAATATGTTTTAAAAATAAAAAAAGATGAGAAGTGTGTAATCAGTTTTTGTTTCATTTGAAATCTCCTCGGTTTGAAAATACTAAAAAATAATTTCAGAAGTACATCTTGCCCATATCTTTGTAGTAGAACACCAGACAGTGTACACTTCTTCGAGTAGAAAAGCTCTCGGGAAAAATAATCTAAGCCCTTGAAACTTAAGAACAATGAGTAAAAAGAGGAAATGAAAATATGCAGAGACGCTGTACAGCTTTACGCATGTTGGAAAGGAAGTTCTTGGATTTTTCTTGTTTGTCACACGCTGCTGGCTTTGGTGGATGGGTGGTGTGTCTCATGGCCTTTTGAGACTTGCAAGTGTGGAATTCACAATAATCAGTCATCTTGTCGAAGTCTGTGTGGGTTTTTTGAACATGCTTGCCTTGAAACAAACATTGGGCTGTGGTTTCTACTGGGAGCAAGGAATGGAAACTTAATAAACAGTTTTTGTGTACACTTAAGAAACAAGGGCTGTGTATAACAACTTCTTGCTGCCTTTGGTGAGAACTGCCCTCTCCCCCCACCCAAACAAGCTTTAGGAATCCTCCTGGTCCTCTATAACTTTTTTATCAACCTTTCCCAATGTTGTTTTGTTGTTTTCTGCTTTTGCTGTGCAGGGGGGAAAAAAACATGATCTTGTTGCTGGAGATGAGCTGTGCTAGGTGCATGCCATACCAGTTTCTATTAGCTTCCCTTTTTTGATACCTGGGAAGTTGTGTGATGCAGTTGTAGCTCGTATCCTGCATCTGCTGAACAGTAGCTGTACCTTGCTGCCATGATGTTCATGTAATCTTTGATGTTTATTCTCTGGAAAAATCAGTGAGGGGAGCTGCAGTACTTAACCCTCCCTTTCCTCAGCCATCAGTTACTTTCACAGTACGTTGTATCTGCTACTGCTTACATTTAGGATGTCAATCTCAGTTTCATTACAGCAGAACTGTATATCTCTGTAATAGAGTTAAGCAAGGAACACAAATTTGGATAGGCTACCAAGTAATATGCCTGCTTCTCTTTGGCATGGCACTGGATTGAGAGGAGTGCATTGTTAGTGTTAATTCCACAGTGTCCTGCAGATTGGTTGTATGAGACTATTCAGTGTTGCAAGTGTTAACTCTCTTTTAAACTCATTTCTTTAAACTCATTTTTAAAGTTAAGACAAATGTGTCTGACTGCTGCAGAGACAGGTCACAGGAAAACCTTTCCCTCTTGGTTCAGAGTGAAGAGCTTTGTTTGTCACTTGAACACTAAATTGAATGACACATGGCTGTTTGGTGACATTAGACTGTCAGTGCTGCTGATAAGGGGTTTCATTTGAGTATTCTGGAAATCTGTCTCAATAAAGAAACAGTTTGTCACTGGCACATTTAATTGCAGGCATAACACAGATAGCACTGAAGTAAAGTAAGTTTTAAGTGATGCTGAGCCCAAACAGACTGCACTCTGGTTTCTCATCCTGAGGACTAGCTCTGCAGACATGATTCATAAATGAAGTTTCTAGCTGTAAAGGCTCCTCTTGTCAGAGGTGGCAGGCCCAGTGCTCTTAGCAGTAGAAGCAATGTAGCCTGGACTGAGCACTGGGGCATTAAATCTATTTGTATGTTATATATGGTTCCTTTAAGGGTAAGGGTGTGTCAGTGAAATAGTTAAATTTGCAAAGCACTGTGGTTAAATAGAAGGAGTCGAATTCCACCACACTTGTAAGAATTTAACCCACCCTACTTAAACTTTTATTTCCTAGTGCTTAATATTGGTTACCTTTCAATTTTTACTCATGACATCCATTGTCTGAAAGACATATTGAAAAGATAAACTTGTATATTGATACCTTGGTAATGTGCTGTACTCCCCAACAGATGCAAGGGGGGCCATTCATTGAGGAGAGATAAAGTGGATTTTATAAACTGATTACAGTGACCACAGTTCCTAAGAACAGAACCTGCTGTTATGTTATTGAAAAAGAGCCTTGCTTCCAAAGAGTTCTAAGTAATCAAGCATCTATTTAAAGTAGTAAGAACTATGGGAGTATTTAGATACGCTAACTTCTGGCCTTTTATTTCAGTAATTCAACTGTAGACCATTAAAAAAGTTCTGGCTTTCTCAAAGATGTAACAAAACTTAAGCAGTAACTCCCCCGAACAAAACCCTAAGGATAGTTTATAATGAGGAAACTGTGGGCTAAATACTGATTTGTGGTAGTTAATTGATAATCTGAGGAACAGAAGTTGCTTGGCACTGTAACTATTCCCGTGTCATGACTTCTGTACCCACATCCCATACAGGTAGTGTTTGATGATAACATTACTAGAAGAGGATAGATTTAGATTGGATTTAAGGAAGAAATTCTTCACTGCAAGGGTGGTGAGACACTGGAACAGGTTGCCTAGAGAAGTTGTGGATGCCCCATCCCTGGCAGTGTTCAAGGCCAGGTTGGATGGGGCTTTGAGCAACCTGGTCTAGTGGAAGGTGTCCCTACCTGTGGCAGGGGGGGTATCTTTAAGGTCCTTTCCAATGCAAACTGTTCTATGATTCTATGAAATGTTCTTTGAAAAGATAATCTTGTGGAATACAAAGCCTGAGGGAAGTCAGTGTGACCTAATGAGTAACAGCTCTCTGTAGTTGTTTCATTCCAGACTTGCCAGTAGAATTTGGAAATCTAATAAAACGCACCAAACTTTCAGAAAAAGAAATAACTCAGCTTTCCCTTTCCCTTTTCTTCTTCCAAATGAAGATTTTGCTGCAGTGAGCAATTAAGTAGTTATTGCCAGAGGCTGTTCCAGAAAGTTGGTGGTTGTATTCTGCATCTCCTTTATAATACATTTTAAAAAGCAATAACAACAAATCAGAAAATATATTCCAGGACCCTCTTCAGCAGTGTGTGCTTTACAGTTAAGGCTATAGGAAGCTTGTGTTGCTGTTACACTGTGGAGTGTTAATTGATGGTTTAAATGCTTTACAGCTGTCGACTTCTTCAATCAGATTAATATGCTTTACGGAACCATTACGGACTTCTGCACAGAGGAGAGCTGCCCTGTGATGTCTGCTGGCCCAAAGTAAGATTATTTTTTACACATTGTTAAGTGTGCAATTTTTTGAGATGATGTTGCATTTGAAAACTTGAGACTAGCTCAGTTGAGTGCCAAAGATAAGGTAATCTCTGTGGGCGGAAAGGATATCTTCTCTTGTTAGCTGTGGAGGGAAAAAAAAAAAAAATTGAACCTTTGTTAAGGGAGTGGGGAACGGAAGGGGGTTTTGGGGGGATTTTTTTTTTGTTGGGTTGGTTGTGGGTTTTTGTTTGTTTGTTTGTTTTTCTTTTCTTTAGCCTGGGAAGTAAACTGATTATCAAAACTATTTTTCCTTTTTTTCTGAAATGTTAATGAGGACTTCTTAAATTAAGATTTGAAGTTTCTATGTGGAAGCGTTCAATTAGGGCTTACCAAAATATTTTTTTTAGGAGTTTGAGTAGATATTGCAGAAATAAACTTGTCTACAGTTTTTAGTAGTCTGGATAAGAATCCTCTACCCTGTCCCTCAGTTAAGTTTCACTTCTTTGATTCTTGCTTCTGCTTTTGTACAGACATCCAACGTTTGTGTTTTTTCTTGCTCTCCAGCTGCTTAGTGTCATCCAAAGAGGAAAATACCTGTATTTCTAAGCGAGTGGCAAGAGAGGGCACTGCTTCCTTCTAAATTACTGTATGATCTTAAATAAGCAATAAAGAAAAGCAATCCTCTCCTCCACTTCCTCCTCTTTTATAATGACATTTGTTGTTACTGTCTGAAGCCAGTGATCGCCAGCCATTGTGGTGGAGACCTGAGGACATGCAAAAGGGTGCTGCTGGGAGGGCAAGATGGAGGGGGCAGGAGCTCTGCAAGGCGAAAGCAGCCAGATGGACCAAGAAAAGCTTTGGTGCTACGTTCTTAAACTAAACATGGACGCTGCTGAATGCCAAAGCCAGTGTGGGCAGGCAGACCTGCTGCTGCAAACCAGGGAGGGGTGAAAATACAAAAGGAGTAGTTCACCATTATGCAAAAGAACTTTGGGATAGGCTTATGCAATAACATACCCCATTGTCTGCTTTGTGCTTTGGCATGCAGAACAGACTCTTATTTATTAAATAAGAACATGAAAATATTTCTTTGCTTTATTGTTTGTCTGCTGACAAGCAGTTATTTGGGGGTGGAGGTTAATTATTAAAGGCTTAGCTGTATGCTTGCCACACTAAACAATTTCTTTCTCTCTGAAGAGACTGATAACCGTTGACAGAAATATATGTCGTACTCAAATAGTTATGAAGCAGGGTAGAAAAGAGATGTTAGAGGCTGGAAGATGTGTTCTGCCGAAGTTTAAATTAGGTGATCTTGTCTCTAGGATTTGTAGAGCATTTCCCAAACTCTGCAGCCCTCGCCAGTGCTCAGGGATGGGTCTTGTGAAAGGATCAGAAACCTATGTGCACGTGAGGGGCCGAGGCCAGGCAGGCACAGGAATGGGTCATTTGTGAGGCTGGTGCTGACCGGCAGTGGAGCATCTACAGTGTTTTTTTTAGTGTGAGTGAGTGTGGCTTTCTTTCACTTAAAAGGTGGCTGGCAAAATTTTTTCCAGGGAAGTACTGCTGGAAAACCTGTCAGCATGAAAACACGGATATTTACAGATTTTTCTTTTTTTTTCTTTTCTCTCTTTCTTTTTCTCTTCTGGCTCAAGCTATATTAGTTGAAGAGGCATTGAGTCTTAGGTGCTCATTAGTGCTTTTAGGCTGAAGGTTGCTGTCTGCTCACATCCATGGCTGAGCTACCACCAGTATTGCATCCTCATCTATTTCAGACGAAAGAGTATGAGTTAGACTCTGCAACAACTTACATAGGGTCATTTGAAACAGGTTAGACAGCCGTAGCATGAGTAGCTGGAGAGAACCAAAAGCAGCAAGCACTTGACGGCTCTGAAGTCTGGTTGTTGCATTCCCACTGGAAAAGTGTTTATGGTTGATGTATTAAAAAAGGATTGTAAGGTGCTGGTGCATACACAGGTAGCTGTTGAGAACTAGTCATGGCTCAGTTAAAATTTTTATAGCACAACTGACAAGCTTCTAGCAGTCTATGGAAAAATTAAACCAAATGTCTTAGGTGAGAGGGCAACCAGAGCAGAAGTGTGATATTTCCTGTATCCACTGCCTGGTACTAGTGTTTTGCCTTTAAAACCCCTTTAAGAGAAGAAAAGAAAAAAAAAAAAAGACCCTTGGCAACAGACAGGTCACCTAGGTTCATGTGTGGTTTTCTGCTTTATTTTTGATACAGGGAGGGTTATCTTCTCTAAAGGGCTACCTTTAAGCAAACGCTTGTGGCTGTATGGCTAGTTCTGTGACCAGCTGGTTCTTTTTGGTAGCAGTCTTAACAGAAGGAATTAGCTGAGGCAGGTAAATCTTTGTGTGCTGTGGGATCACTTTCATTTCTTCTGAACTTGTCTTTATTGGAAGGATTGCTGACTTAGCTTTTATCAGGGCGTTAGTACCCTGAGTTAGTTAAGGATTAACATAAAGGTCAATAACAGATCTGCTTCTCCTGTTGTGCAGCTCGTTGTCTAACAATTTGAAAAAAGTACTAGTTTATTCCAAAACATATGATTACTCATGGTAATGTTCCATTCTTTTCACTTCAGCAAAGACCAACCATTTCTTACCAAACACCCTGGTTGGTTATCACTTCTTGCTATTCTTTTATCAGTTGCAGTATCGCCATGAGTGCAACAGGCATGATAGTAAGTTAAGAACCTGCATAGGAGTAATACGTTTATTAACCAGCACTGGGTGAGAGGAATTTTCTTCATTTTCCTCCCTGGTTCTAAGTCCTCAATAAGAGCACAAAGGAGGGTTCATGGCTGCTGCATTTTTCAAAGCTGGATGTGTGAACTGGTGCTCTAAAATCCATATTTAGGCATTTGTGTGAGTGCACTAAGCTCACTCTTAATTCTCAACATCCTTCTGATTTTCCTGAGGTTTCTTGGTCCACAGTGCTTCTGTCTTCGTTTGTTCAAATCAGAATAGCTGGGCACTCTGCAGTGGACAGCTCCTATAAATCCTACAGGGGTGTAACACGGTGTAATTGCATGTTTGCATGCTGCCTTCTGCCCAGTGTGTCTGCAGCAAAAAACCCAAATAAATAATATAATCAGGCCTTTGAAATAGCCTGTGTTTCTTAGTAATATCAATCCTTTTGCCTTTTTGTGATACTCCACTCGGTGCCTGTGTCACTTGATGAGTGAGGGACAAAACAGAGTAAATATTTTTCAGCTCTCTGATGTAATACAGTTTTGCTGAGATTTAGAGTTGGTAGGTCCAAATAAATGTCTGAGAATCTTTTAAAAGGCATTGCTGAGCCACTGCATTTTATTGCTGTTGGACAAGGTAACAGCTTTAAGTTTAGTCAAGCTGTTTTTTGTTTGGGGGGGGGGTGGGGTTGGCCACGTATATGTAATTGTGAGGTAGAGAATCTGGTCCTATGATTGTTTATAATTAGGGGTATTTTCTAGCATGAGAAGCATAGTTGGGTTTTCTGTTTATAGATGGCAAATAACTTGTGTTTATTAGTATGAGGGAATTGTACCAGACGTTTTAGGGTTTCTTAGCTTTTTCCCCTGCACTTGCTGAATTGAACTGTGTATTTCTTGCTCTATCCTGTTTTGCTCTTAAAAACCTCCACTAAACTGTAGAGGTTTCTAAAAAATGTATTTTCTGTAGAGGAACTGCCTACCACGATAAGGTGAATTTGTTTCTATCACCAGAGCTGTAGGTGTTGTGCTCATGCCCTGGTTTAAGCCCAGCCTGGAACAAACTCAATACAGCTCACAAGCTTGAGCTAGAAATGTGATTTTACCCTTCGTTTCCTGTAGCAGTTCTAATGACTAATATGTGGGAGTTTTTGTGTGTGTTCAGTTATCTTTTTTTGTGTAAGAAGTTGGGCTAGGATTCTTGATTTGTTTTTGGTGATGTACCTAATCTTGTAGGAAGAGTTTGTTTTCCTCTCCCTGGTGAACACCAAGCCTTTTGACATCCTAGGAACAACCGTGAACATTATGCCCACTGCATGGAGCATGGGGTGGTTGCTGGAATACTTTCAGATACTCTGTATGACTTAATTTTTGTTGGGATAGATCTGCTTTTTCTTAAGAGCTGTGTTACTTAAGGAGATGTTCTATGACATTGGTTCCTCTAAAAAATACAGAATTAACCCGTAGTATTGGGGGGGTGGGGAAAGAGGGAGGCTTCTTATGTTTATATGTTATTTGGGTAAGATTTTTAGCATGTAATTTAGTTTGTTGTCTCACTCGGTGTCTCCAGACTGAACCTGGCACTTCAGCTAAGTGTTGACATTTGTCCTATGTTAATACCTCTTAAATTGAGGAATACTGATTTTTTCAGAAATCCAGACACTTGTGGTCCATTCAGCAAGTATGGAATTTTTGCATGTGTTTTGAGATGCAATTTTAAAATGCTTTCAGACCCTCTGATTTGTTGCCATTATAAAAATGGGGTCTTTTTATACCATTGTGAGCAGCACGCTCATAATTACTCCTAAAATTTGTTTATTGTGAAAATGTTCTCCCAGTTACTGTTCTGACAAAACTGAATTTGCTAAACAAAATTAGAAGGCAGATTTATTAGATACAGTTAAGCTTTTCAAAAAATGATGTGTGTGATCTTTAAAATAGATGATCTTCTCCAGTGTCTGCACAGTCCTAATTGGAGATAGCAAGGGAAAGTTTAAACTGTGATGGTTGCAGCCCAAAAGGTGTGGTAAGCTACTATTGTACTAAGAAATAACAACCAAATTGAGCATAGTATCCTCCATGAAAAGAAGAAATATTAACCATTGATAACATCTCTTCTAATTCTTTTAAAAAAAGAACTGAGAGAAAACTTTGTAGATGAAGTGGCTATGTTTCCTGTAAAAGCATGACTGAGCTGACATCACTTTCCTTGTATATTTTGTTTTGGTTGTTCATTAATTTTTAAAAATTTTATATTTTTAAAAGAGGAGTGTTGCAGCTAGTCTGAATCATTGTTCATTTGTTTCTCTGGGATGATTTCAGAGGTGCAGAGCTCAGCAGTCCTTTTTGATTCTGGCTTGGCAGCAGGCTCGCCCCACAGATAGCCATTCTGCAGCGGTGCTGGTTGGCTGAGAAAGGCTGGCTGATTTAAAACCAACATAGGAGATTATGCTGTGTTCAGATCTGAAAGAGAGGGCTATGCACAGCTCTGTGCTGATGAGAAGAAACTGCTCAGATGTTACAGATTGGCAAGGAATACTAAGATACATGCATTTGTACTCGGCAAGACAAAGAAATGCTGTGGTTCACTTGAAGGCTTGTGTCCTCAGACTCCCAATGTTAAACATGTTTGGTTTTTTTAAGCTGTATGTTTGAAAGATTAGCCATCTTCTCCTGTGTCTGGACTTGTGTCAGTTGCATTCCCCAAGCCAGTCAAAATATCTAATTTTCCATTCTAATTTAATGAGGACTTGTTTCTGTCTGGTTGTGCCTGTAAATGGATGCTGGTTAATAAACTTTTCCATGGCTTTTTCAATTCCTGAAGTTAAAATGGTAACCGTAAAATGAATGTTGCTGGAATCTGCTCATTAAATGTGCTACGTAAAAGATGTCAACATTACTAGCTCTGTGATTGGAAAAGGATAAAAGGAGCACACGTTTTACTGTTCTGTAGTCATGTCAGTGGTTTGTAAAGGTGTGATTACCTTACCTACAGATGGAAAAATTAAGCTAAAAGACAGTTACAGGCTTGCAACTATCAAGTGGGTCAGTGGTATAACTGGAAACAGAGATTTTTCTGAATCTTGGTGCGCTGCATGGTAGCGCTAGACCTTCAGATACGAACCTTTTCTAAGGAGGACTATTAAGTGTAGAAGTTTTCTTCTGACTCTTAGCTGAAGCACTTCATAGCAGCTTCCAGTTTTGTAATAGTATTCCTTGGCTTTAACCCATCTCTGAATCTCTTCCGTGTCTCTAATACAATCATAGTTTGGGATCTCTGGCAAGAGCTAATGTAGTTTGGTCTTCAGTTACGCAAAATCTATAAAGAATATGTTTAAATGTAAAGAAATTCCATAAATTTTAGTGGTCTAATGTGTCTGGCTGGCAGCTGCTGCAGATGTTGAGCATTGCCACTCGCTGTGCAGTTGTTCTCTGCCAGTGGAGGTGAAGGGAAGCCCATTGCTAGGGCTCATTGGGTGAAATTTCACATTAGAGGTCGGTCAGGTGCCTTCACTGATGTGAGCCCTGGAGCTTAGTTTTTATTTGTGTGAGAATCTCGTGTAACTTTTTGATGTTTCACTTCAACAGGTGGTAATGTTTTTCTTTTGGAGGGGGAGAAAGGTTTAAAAAAGAATAAGTAGCTGTTGGCCTTTCAGGGTGTGCAAACGTACTCATACAGCACCTTTTGATGTACAGGGATTATTTAGGTTTGACTGCAGGCTGCCACGTGCATTTAGGCAGGAGCGTTGCAACCGAGGATGAATTGAATTGTGCTATAAAGGATGAAGCTTTTGAAGGCTTTCACAGACTTCAGAAGAGAGTCCAGCTAAAGCAGGATTGTAGTGGGGAGGTGGGGTACAGGGCAGCTGCAGATGAGTCGGGAACGTTTGGACCTTGGTTTCAAGGAAGGGCTGAGGGAGGGTGTGGGAGTACGGGGAGTGGAGCAGGAAGAGCAACCTTCCAGGCCTTGATATGAATGATTCACTTGTGTTAAGAAATGTCTTGTTGTTGTCGTCCCAACCCAGATATGAGTACCACTGGGCAGATGGGACAAACATAAAGAAACCAATTAAGTGCTCTGCACCAAAGTACATTGATTACCTGATGACTTGGGTCCAGGATCAGCTGGATGATGAAACGCTATTTCCTTCTAAAATAGGTAAAGTAAATAAGTAAAATTGAACAATGTATTTGGGTTACAGTTGTACAGGAATATTCAAATCTCGTACCATTAAAGGGTCTCCTAAGTGACTGACGAGTAGGGCAACTTTAAAAGGTTACATTATACATATAAAGGCACTTTTAAGATAAAATTTGTGGTAGCACATGAACTCTAATCCATGTGTTAATTCTCCTAATAAACATCTATCACAATTCTGAATGCAGGAAGTACTGTTTCTATTTAATAACTGACTGTGTTGATCAAATCTGATGTTTTTTCATTTTGAACAGTGGGTTGTTTCCTTAGAAATAAGGCAGAGGGTCTCTTACACTTACAGCCAGTAATTGGTACAAACTGGCAGCTTTTTGATGCAGGAAAGATGTTTGGTCCTCACAAGGAACTTACCTCCAAAGAAGCTGAATTGCATCTTTGATCTTAAGTTAATGATTTTTTTTCTTTTCAAGTGAAGATGAAAGATGTATGTTTTGAAGAGGTTTCTTTCAGAAAAGTGAGAGGAAAATAATGAACAACCACCAGTTCGGAAATGATAACGAGAAGAAAACCCCGCTTCTAGAGGCACGAAGGACTATTTGTTCTAAAGCTAATTGGCAGTTTTCCAGTACACCACTACTCATAGGCTTATGATCCGTTGTGGAAAAAGGGAGATCTCTTAATTGCTTTTATTTTGTGAATAGTTTCTGAAGCATTTGACACACTTTCAATAAGCCTCTTAGTGGCATTTGTTTTTACTTAGAGTTAAGCAGATATGCAGAGAATGTTGGTTAGTTTGGAAAGAAGTGACAAGAGCCGAATCTTCCTTGCTCAGTAGATGCGAGCATGGTTTCTTTGCATAACTATGGCATTCGTTTTGGTGTTTCAGGGTGGAGTTGAGAGCTGGGGTAGAAGTCTCAACTACTAATAGGAATGATATTAAATAGTTACAGTTAATATTAAAGTTGTGTTCAAAAGACAACATGAGGACTTGATTCCTTTAACTGCAGCATATACTTTGCTGAAGACTTTTTTCTTTTAACAGGATGTATTTTTGAAAGGTAGTGATTTAGAAAGAGACTTAAAGGCCACAATGAATAACCAACTAAATATGAACTACCCATGCAATGCAGCAGCCAGTGAAAGAAATGATGTACGTGTAAGCAGGCCAAGCTTAAGTAGGAGTATGAAAATTTAATTTGCTAGGGTTTTAAACCACTGGTGAGATCATGATTGGCCTACAGCATCCAGCTTGGGCCTCTGGCCTTCAGACAGGACTTCAGCAATTGGAAAGACTGCAAAAGAACTAAGCTGACTGGGAAAAATTGCCATGTGATGAGAAGCTAGACAGGTTTAATCTTCTTTTTAGATGGTTAATACATATCTTTTTTTAGCCTGTGGATGTGTCAACTAAAGAGATTATTGCTCCCAGTAGCTGGTTGCTGTTTCCTAACCAGTTCTAATAAAACTTGTGCACTGACAGAGATGTGCTTTTAAAACTGATTTTACCTGTCCTGGGTCATTTTCACTGAAAGGAGCATATTTCGGAGTACCTCAGCAGGCAGTTAAGGAAGCAGTAGCCTCTGGCTAAGGAATGGCAATGAGCAGGATGGAAATAGGAGTCTTATTTGCTGGGCACGAGGCAGGTGGAAGAGAGCCTATTTCTGATTTCACTTTAGCCGAGAGAAGTGTAAAACTCGATGGCTGATACCAAAGGTGGTTTCGGTTACCTACACAAAAGTATCTGGTGTCCCTTGGAGTACCCTGTGGTATGTTGAACACGTGCAGAGAGCCATTTGTGAGACTCAGAGCCTGCAGGAGACTTCTCCTTTTCTGCATTGGCAGTCAGAGACCGGGCAGGTACTGAGGGGGCATCTATAAGCACATAAAGATTACCTGTGTTTGGGTATCTGAATCCTACCACAAGGGAGGAATACTCTTGATCAGAGAAGGCTCTTCAGGAAACTGAGCTGAGACATAACAAGATGTAGTAGCTGGAAGCTGAAGCTAGGAGGATTCAGCGTAGAAATGTGGTCAGATTTGTCTTGGAAAATGTTCAGGAGCCACAGGTCTACTGAAGGGAGGGAAGCCTCCCCTCTGGTCTTTGAATGAGCTTGTCGTTGCCCTTCAGCCGAACTACATGGTGTGATTAACAGACGGAATTGCTGAGTGAAATGGAACAGCCCTTCTTGTGCAAGAGATAGGGTTGGGTTATAATGACTTTCCAAATACATGAACGTGGCATGGGCATTTAAAAATAACCCATCTGTTTTCTTATTTCTAGGTGTACCGTTCCCAAAGAATTTCATGTCAGTGGCAAAGACAATTTTAAAGCGTCTCTTCAGAGTTTATGCTCACATTTATCACCAGCACTTTGATCCAGTGATCCAGCTACAGGAAGAGGCACACCTTAACACTTCTTTCAAGCACTTTATATTTTTTGTTCAGGTGAGTGTGGCAGGAGCGCTATGGTTACAATTATATTCTGAAAAAAGTAATGTATCAAAGTAATGCCCCTTCAGTTTCTTAACAGCTGGAGTATTTGTAGGAGAGTCAACACCTCCAGGACCCTAAGATAGTGTCTTACTCCATTTTTATGTTGTTGGAAGTATTCAGGGAATGGAAAAGTTTTCAGCGAAGCATTTGTTTGCTGCAAAATTGAATACTGAAAAGTATTCCCTACCAAATAAATCAGTAGAACAGTAATTCCTAACAAAAGAAAGAGGGAGGACGGCATCTGAAGCTAGATTGAAAAGCGTGTGCTTGCTTCAGAGCTACGTTTCTCCCCTCCCCTTGTAATAAAAGAGCATCTTCTTACGTTTCCTTCCTTTAAGTGGGGGAAAAAGCTTTCGGCAGTCGAACACTGCTATTCAGCTAACGGCAGACAGGCAGAAAATGCTATAGTGGCTAAGCCTGGACTCGAAGAGCCTACTACTGAATAACTTCTATCTGAATAAGACTTCTTACCTGAGCTGCATATGTAAATTTCTGTATGTATGTCTTTTCTCCTCATCCTTGTTACAGGAATTCAACCTTATTGATAGAAGAGAACTTGCACCACTTCAAGAACTGATTGAAAAACTCACCTCTAAGGACAGATAAAAGGAAGAGCATTTCTTGAAGTCACTTGTTTCTTTAAGCAAGCGTGTGGTATTTGTTTTTTGTTCATTTGTTTTTTTAAAAAACAAAACAAAACCCTGTGCTGTTACTAATGGCAGCCAAGATCTACTTTCTGTGCTTTTATTAGGGGAAATCTTTTACCTGTTAGTGACACGTGGTAAATAGCTTTTTTTTTTTTTTTTTATTGTTGTTATTCATTGTGGAATTTTAGCAGGTGCTGAGTGTTTATAAAGGAAACATGCTTGGTTGGGGGATTGACTCTGCTGGTGGATGGGTTCTTGTATTGTGTCAGTGGTAGCCCATTCTCATGAAGTCCCTAAAAGACTTGCTTACATTCTCTAAGTGCCTTGGCAGACTCACTTCTGAGGTGCAAAGCACATACAGTACTGAACATTGCTGGAAACAGAAAATATGAACTAACACCCAGGACACTTACTGATACTTGTTTTAGAAAAATATATATATGCTTACACTAAAAAAAGCCATAACTTACTGAAATCAATGATCTCCAGCTTTTAATACAAATATTTGTCTTATTTTTTTAGAGATTAATATAGATTTTTTCAAAACTAGATATTTCTTATAAAGAAAAGTGATGGTGAAGTTCTATTTGCTAAAGCGAAATGATGAAGGCGGTGTCAAAATTACAAAGAACCTGTGCTTAGTAAGTAGTTACATTTCTGTTGCCATTGGTTTTGGCTTTTCATAGTTGCTTTTATTTTTTTGACAGGGAAGCATCAACTTGGGTCAGTCACTTCTGTTAAGTTTCCTAGCATTTGCCAAATGAACGGTTAGTTTGCACAGATACAGTTAGGGAAAATATTCAATCTAAAAAAATGCATTGGGGTAATACTAAGAAAAATCTGGCTTGAAGAATAACTAGTGAAATGACGTTCGTAAGTTGTGAACAAAAAACCTGGCTCTGTGCAGGAGCTCTGGTGGCTAGTGTTTTCTGTGGTAGGAAATGTATCTTGGAGGGAATATAATTTCATGGACCATGAGAAAACCTAATCAAAATGTGGCCTTCCCCCACCTGGGTTAGTGTCTTTCCCTCTCTAGCCTTGTGTTTTCTCAAACCAGAAATGAGAATCACCTGTGAGAAGGTAATCTCTGGGATGATCCACAGATGATGACTTGGAAATTTCTGCTGCAACTGTTTCAGTCAGGTTTCCCATTTGCAGAAGCCTGCATGACTAGCTCTCTTGTTCATTTACGGATCTTGTCAAAGCTGTTGTATTTTGGATTCAAAGAAATCTGTATGGGGTTCTGCAATGTGCTATCTCATGATATCAGTAGTTGCCAAATACAGTACACCAGGTGGTCAGTGTTGCCAGGCTTTGATAGATTGTGACTCTGCAAAACCACCATTTGTAGACCTGAGTAACATGAAGATGTTTAAGTGGCTGGTATACGCTAGACTGACTCTTGAGCCTCTAAAATTTGCAGGCGAAGCCAAGGTTAGCGTGCAACAGAAAGGTTGAGGTTATGTTTTGTGCACCTTTGCTTGACTGAAAATGCTGAGTAAAGTGGAAAATACTGTGCAGCAGCCTGCAAAATATGTAAGTGGCCATTAGTATAGCCAGCTAATAAACTTTTAAGCACACTCATTTTTGGGAGACTAGAAACGCTACTTCTGAGTTAAAATTATCTATTTCAGAAGCTTCTGAAGGTTATTTTAAGACCTATGTTATCTTCAATGGAGTTAAATTTCCTAGTCTGTTTCAGCTGCTTCCTGGAGAAGCAATTTAATTTTTGTTATCTCTTCTGTCTCTCTGTCTGTCTGTTTCTCTTCCCCCGCCCCCCTTAACAGACTTGAGAACAATTGAGAAAACCTAGTATTGAGATATTGAGCTATAAACTGGCGTTTTGTACTCATTTCACTGCTTTTTTATTTAGAAATGGAAATGTGGAGTGTTGCATAGTGAAGAATGGTCATGCAGTGGTGTTCATGTTGAATTTAGGTTTGGCTACACTAATGTTAGATACAGAGGCTGCTAGCAGAACAACCTGCAGTTAAGCATTTGTAATTAAAACAGTCCTTGGTTTCATTCAAAGCTTCATTACAGTTCAAGAAATTGTAGAATTTGTTTGGCTCCTTTGCAGATCAATGTCATAGCCCATTATTATCTGCTCAAAGGATAAGTGAAATTTTCAGTTTTCCTTATGTTTTGGCTTTTTTTTAATATCGTACAGAATTACCAAGTTTTCTTAATGTGTGGATGTCCAAGGAAAGGACTTTTATATTGTGTTTTTCTTAACATTGAGTGTTAGGATTGGATTGGTGTTACCACAGTCCACACTGAATCAAGCTGATGATGCGAAGAGAGCTTTCCCTCAAATGTTTTAACAAACTCTTAGTTTAAAAAGGGTGGAGTAAGGTCTTACCCCTTCCCAGCCAGTAAGGATCTTGACTCTTCCGTGTACATACACACACGTGGGAGGAAAAGAGGGGAGATACTCAATGTCTCTTACGTCTTCAGGGAGTTGGGGGTTGGAAAAATATGCACAAGGCGTAAGAAAATTAGAACCAAAAGCAAACAAGAAGCATGAGCAAAATTTCCTTTCCTTTGCCAAGTTGCCTGTTACTGCAGTATTCACCCCAATGCTTTTGTCAGTCCTACTGTTCGTAGGACGTACTTGGTCTGGCAAATGTTGGATTTCCTCATGTAATTCTATTGGCCAGTGGAAGAGTCAGTTGGTGCTGTAGGACCTAAATGCTGCTGTCTGGAGTTGAGTAATGGGTTGATAAGAAAGAAGGAGCTCCCGTGGGCAAAATATCCCATGTGTTGGACTGGGCAAGTACCATCCTGTTGAACAGTTGGAGAAAAAGCGTTCCTTTGGTAAGTGCTATCCTTTTTATGGGCTGTATGGTATGATTGACAAGGTAGCTGGGAATGCAGTACTTCTACGGACCATGTGCATCATTTGTGACGTCTTTGCAGCTGCAGGTTTGTTTTTAACTGAGTAGCATACCTGACATCTGATGTGGACATGACTACTTGAGCCTGGTTTGGCAGCAGTCAGGTGGCAGAGCTAGCTTTGGGTGCAGGGTTGGAGGGCTCTCTTAGCTCAGGACTGAAAAACGCAAAAGGCTGTCGTCTTTTCAATGTTACAGGAGCAGTCAGCATCCACCTGACTATGCAAAAGCAGCTTAACTCCCAAATTTGAACTGCATGATTTTAAACAGAGTCCACTCATGCAGGGAGCTGAATTTAAGAATGTGATCTTAGACACACAGCCTTTTATGCATGCTTCTATCCAAGGAGTGTTTAATGACTGAAAATTTCCAGCTACAGAGGCGTGAAGAGTGCTGCAGATGCAGTTTGATATTAAAAATCCTGTAAACTTTCCAATGAAAACCTCTTTGCTGAGTTGAGTCAGTGCTGCTCAAGAGGCTGCTGCGTGTGCATGTTCGCTGTGCTGATAGTGCTTACTGGAGAGGAGCCTTTTAACCAGTGCTAGAGCTCCTGTTACCACATCGCAGCAAGACACGAGAGTGAGAATGGCAGAAGCCTGCTCCAAGGTGCTAAATAGGAGATATCCTCCGTTAGATTTAAAGCTGTCTCTGGCGTGGTGTCATGTACCAGCACAAAAATCAAAAGAAAAATATTTAGAAGCGAGGATTTGTGTGGAGTGATATCAGTGTGGTAGTTCGCTTTTTTGGCATACTTCTGCTCTGAAAGGTGTTTTTTTCTGTTGGTGGTTTTTTTTTTGTTGGTTTTTTTTTTTTAAAGTAGCCAATTCTAGAAATTCAGAGGCATCTGCTGCAGTTCAGCCAATTAGAATGTATTATGTAAAAAAAAAAAGTCTTGCGTGAATAGCATATTTTTTGTATTTAATATCTGGCAGTAGAAAACACTTTTACAGAATAGTTTCTAGGCATGTAATAAAAGCTTGGAGATCATGATTTGCCTGACAGCTGTATGAACACATTGTTTAATTATACAACACTTGAAAATAACAACATTGAAGATATGTATGCAGTGTTTGGGATTTAGTATCCCTATGCTGTTTATATTTGCAGCTTTTTAATTGTTTTTTTTCTTCAAAAAGATGTGGGACCAGATGTTGATGTGTGTTTACACTCTTGAAGTAAGGGCACATTGAAATGCTAAACAAAAGTTGCCATGTTGTACAAATGGAATCTCCATCCAGTGAATGTGTTTATAAAATAGTGCATTTCTTGGGAGGAAGGGGGAGGACACCCCCTCGCCCTCCCCAAAGAAAACACAGAGAAATGAACCCTGAACAAACCCCGCGCTGCTCTAGACCCACATTACAGACGGACTCTGTTCTGTGTCACGAGCGCTTTGAGACAAAAACTTTGAGCTTTGTTGTCACTGGGAGCAGAAGGTGCTGGTGGGCTTAAACCAGGCTGGGCTGCCAGCGCTGGCTGAGGCCTTCCACTATAATAGGGTCCTGAAATTCTGTGGTTTGTGGTGTTTTTCAGCTACCAGCGTATTAGACCTTGTCAGTGATTCGGGTGGTAACTTCAGGAGGTCATCTACCTCGAGACAGGATGGGGCAAACTCTGCTAAGTTCATCAAGTTTGGCCACCGTTGCCAATCTTGACAGTGTTTAGATCGTGTGGATACATGATGTTCGCAGAAATAGTTTTTCAAGCCTTTCAAATTCAAGTCAGGGATACAAGTTAATCATGCAAATAGAAAATAAAAATGCCACATTCTGCTGTTGCAGGTAGCTGAATGGTAGCTGAAGGGAGAAGACAGGTTTCAAGGGGCAGGTGGCCCATCTGCAAGTATCAAGTTTCTTTTACTGCTTACTATGCAATGTAGAGCTTTGAACTTTTGCTTTTACTTCAAGATATAGAGGAGCACTGTCCTTACTCAGTATTTAGGAACTGAACACTCTCCCAGTGTCCCTGACACTCATTTAACAGGTAAGGATACCTATTTGCTGCTATGGACTTTACTTACCTTTCGGATTGTTCCTTTCTGTTTCTCGCCCCCCCCCCCTTTCTCTTGAATCACCAAACACAATTTTACTATAAACCCATCCTTTTTGGATAGTTGTTCTTTTCCTTGCTACCCTCTCCCCCCTTCCTACCTGCCAGAGTGCTGTATTACTGTATATAAACTGCCCCCTTTTAGTTGGACTATTTAAAAAGCTGCAGCACGAACACAGACTCCTTGCTTTTCTTTCACTGAAAGATTCCCTGTTACACTGAATCTTGTTTCCTTCACTGCTGATGTATCAGTTGTCTTTTTTCCAAAATGCACTACTAAAACCACTAGCAGTTTAATGAATGCCTGTCATCTTTTCCTGGATATCTTCTCTTTTAAGATGAGACTAACGTTGGTTATTTTAAGGGTTAAACCTTTTTATTTTCCTGCTTTTCTTACAATTTCCTCTTGCCAGGTTAAGATTGCAGTCTAGGTAAATATCAAATTATGTTTTTGTTTGAAGAACCAATTCCCTAAATTGTTCATAGAGTATTGTATTTTTAGGGGAAATTAATTTTTATAGCCACTAAACTATACTCATTATTTTTGTACATTTGCAACTTCTGACATTTTTCAGAGACATGTCGCGGAGGGAACACTTATTTTCATGGCTGTTTTACTACTTCGGTATGCTGTGGTTGTGTTGCTTACTACCTAGAAGCACATACCTTGATGTGCAATGGAAGAGAGAGAAGAATGCAATAAAAGTGAATGAGGTTTCAATAAAAGGCCATTTTTGAAGGAAAAAAAAAAGATATTATGAAAGCAACACTAACCTTTCCTCCTTCTTTAGAATCCTAAAATGTATGGGAGAAAATGCGGTGTAAAATAGAAAATGCAAGATGAGAACCCTTACTGTAAGCTAACTGTGCCAATATCGCTTCAGTTTGTAGTCACTTGATTGGTATTTTAGTTTTAAATGAGAACAGCTTTTGATGAAAAAAAAAAAAGTTGAATGTCTGAAAATCTGCAACATGTTTATTTGAGAGTTGTAAATAATGTATACAGATTGTTGTATGTGATGGACAAAATATTTAAATTCTAGGTTTTTTTTCAATAAGAAACTGAAGGCTGTTTATAAGAGAAAATAAATAGCTATGTTTGACCATGATTGTCTTTATTTCCTTATTGAACTTGTTTCTAAATTATCTTCTACTTGTAGATAGATTTTTTCCTGTATATTGTACACATACGCAAATTACACATACAAATTAGATTTTTGTAATTGCCTTGTCTGAATTTGTGAATATTTGTATTGCAGGCAGACACAATAGCAATAAAACAACCTGATACCCTTTTCATTTCCTTGTTTCATGACCTGAATTTAACCAGTATGGACGGAGCTCGGTGTGGGACGTCCGATAACAAGTTTAGTATCGCATTAACTGCGTCTCAGTGCCGATCCCCGGGGCGGTTTTGAAAGCTTTGCTGCGAGGAGGGTGTCCTGTCGAAGCCGTAAGCGCTCTGCTGTCTCAGGTCACCAGCTTCACACAAAATACAGACTCCGCTTTTGGCTGTGCTTGGCAGCACAGGTGCCTTTTTCTATTTTTTAAATTTCTTTCTCCTAAAAGCCACTTGTGACTCCGACAGCTGCAGCACTCCAGGTTTCCTACCCTCCCATCCGCATCCGATTGTCTCCTCCGCCTTCTCCTCTCACACCCGCAACTCCGAAGCATCCCGTCCCTCGGTGAGTCACCCCTCGCATGCAGCTGGAAAGCGGTTTGTGCCCTCAGGTCAAAAAGGCGGTTAAAAATCTTGCTTTTCCTTCAATCCCCACAAATCTGGGCTTGGGGGGTGTGGGTGAGGGACCGTGCGGAGACAATCTCTGGGACAGCATTCCCCGCTTGCGGCCATCGTATGCGGTTTTACACAAGAGGAGGGTGCGTTGGTTCACAATGGCCTCGCTGCCTGTGCCCCTTTCATAGATTTAAGGATTTTTCCCGTTTAACTCGGTCCTTCGGGAACCAAAACGGTCTTACGCTGCGACGGTATTGTGGGAAACGCGTGGTCGAGTGTGGGTTCGGTGGCTGTTGCGGGCTTTTCAGCAACAACCCTCCCACTAAGTGGCCATGCACTAATTCAAACGCGATCTCCGTGTCACTTCTGAGAGTCTTCTGGAAGAATTTTAAGGTAAACGGGTCCCCTGTGTCCCGCCTGCGTGTCGTCGTTGGGGGGGAAGCCTCCCCTTTGGGCCGAGAACCGAGCAACTCGTGGCAGGGGTGGCCGCCCGCCCATCGATGCCATCTCCTGCCGCAGCTCTGCCTGGCTCCGCAGCGCCGGGCTCGACCGCCCGCCCTGCCGGCGGCGGGAGGCGGGGGGCCTCTGCTCGCCTTTCCTCTCCTTCTTGGCCCTGGCGGCCGCCCGTAGGCGGTGCCGCGGGCGCCAAATTCGAAGGGGGGGGACGGGCAGACGGCGGTTAATTCCGTTGCGGCCGTTAAGCGGGCGGCCTGGTCGTCCCCGTCGTTCCCGCTCTCCTCCGGCAGAGCCGTCGCTCGTTCTCCGCCATGGCCACCCCTCCCAAGCGCGGGCGGCTGGAGGGCGGCAGGATCAAGAAGATCGCCGTCGAGGGCAACATTGGTGAGCGGCGGGCCCGGCGCCTCACCGGGGCCG